TATATATATATATATATATCATTGATTTGTTTGGTACTTGAGCCAAAGATAGTAAAAAGCACCAATAATTTTGAGACACTATAAATACATGTATTAGTCAGAAATAAAATCAATATTAGATTGACCGACGAAAAGGCAGACAAGAACTGAATGAAATGTCCTTTTTTGTGACGTCGGTGTGACGTCAATTCTCTAATTGTTTAAAAGCAGGAGAAATCCGATTTTGGGCGCAACCTGATTGGCTTGTTGTTTCGTTAATACAAATGTATATCTATTTATTTCTTTCTTGTATTTTACGTATTAACATCTACATAGAGCTAAACATTGCATCGTTTTACTTGTATAAACTTATATTCAGCACGTTTACATGTACATACAATATGACCTATCCATAGACACCCTTGTTGAACGAGTCTGTTACACATGTACGATCATGTATTAGGTAAATTCCAGGCAGAGTTTGGTAATGACGACAGTGACGTTACGTATACGACCTGATCTCCCTATATCTGCTTGAAGGTCAATGACCGGGACATCCCCATCTTCCGCATCTCCCCTCCTTATACATGATTAATGAACCGCCCCCTGAGAATTCCCCGGTGGTAGCACAGGGAAACAGAAACCGTTTCTATTTTTGTCCTCCAAGGTTATCCCGTGACAGTTAGGGACACACACACACACACACAGGCAGGCCTCGCAAGAGTCTTACGAAAGAAAGCCTACAAAAGCCCGGATATACGTGTATATACACAATTATCTGTATGCCATTACCACCAAACGAACCAGGCGCCGCTGGCAAACGCAAAGAAAAACTACGTCAGCTGTGGGATATGCGCGTTGGACGGCGCCGGATGTTGAGCTGGCTCTCCCATATATAGGTCTCCCCTGTCCCTATTCACTTATGCCAGCTATTCCTAGCCTCTGTGGCGGATTCGCGAGTAATATTTGGCTCGTTACACATCCCTGAGCCTAACGTTTGTCCACCAGACGTCAGGATATGTCAGTATCTACAACCTGTGTGTAACAGAGGGTTATCTGGTGTATCGTGCTTGATAGGACAACCGTCGTGAGACGCTACGGGATACGGACAAGAAAACGTGCACGCCCTTATATATACGCCGGCGGATCGGGCCATCAATTCTAACTATTTGTGAATTCATAGCGTCGCAAGGGAAGAGGACACCTACAAGCTTCGCGTTAGCTCCCGTCTGGAAACTCGGGAAAATCGCTGCGTCCTTCTATCTCCTGTATCTCTGTTTCTCCATCTTGTATAATCTGTAGACTAGAGACTGGATAAGTACTAGTCATGGATGTGGTGTGGGGCATTGTGAGCACCCTGGTGTACATAGTCGCCGTGTTCATTGCCGTTGAATTCTGCTGTGGCAGGATCAAGAAGTACTCGTCGGCGAAGCGGGAAGAGGAGGAGGAGGGATCGGGAAGGAGGGAGTCTGCCACCGCCGCGACGACAGACGACGTCCCGGGAGCGACGGCATCGGCGGAAACAAGCGCAGAGGTAAGAGTTGTTGTTGTTGTCCTTGTTTAATATCTATTATGTCGCTAGACGTGGTCTCTAGGTGCTCATTTTTACTATACGCTTGGTTCAGTTCAGAGTCAGTTGTCTCACTAGGTGTCACTTGGTGGCTTGTGCTTGTGTGATGCTGGGAGTGTAATTCCTAGGAGAGAAAAAGGGATATGATTCTTTATGATCCTTTATCGACCAAACAAAAGGTATATACAGGGACCTCTGTATGGTCTACAACTTAAGATCTAGCTAAATACATGTATGAATAACGTCATGCTACGTACAGAATATATTATGTATTTCCCTATTAGAACACTATATTGACAAACAGACAAACAGTTAGGATAGGCGCACTGAGAATACATAAATCTTCCGTAATTGGGTAATGTCGCCTGTAGAAAGAGATGCGAAGGGGGAGGGGGGTCTTTGTTAATCTCCAAGCAGATCTTTTGGTGGCTGCAATACAGTATAAAATTAGCCTGGGTTCCAGACCCATAGCACACTGGACACAAAATATCTCAGTGAGCATTTTTTGTGTCCATTGGTCTGGAACCCAGGCTATATAAAATTGGCAAGACAGTACATATTTGCCACCTGTTTGGATGGCGCAAAAAGAAATAACAGTACAAAACAGAAAGCCTGATAGAAACGCCTATTAAAGTAAACAAAGTCTCCACCAGGCTTCTTTTGCAGGCTGAATAAATAGTAGAAATCGGGCAAATTGGACCCTGTCTCGCCGGCCACCTTCTCTGGCCAATTATATCCCCTTTGTAGGCCGATTTCTACTACTAGTACTTATTCAGCCTGCAAAGGAGTCTGGTGGAGACTACCTAAAATACGCGTCAAATATAAGCCGAAGCTCAAACCTCTGCTTGGAGAGAAGGTCGGGATATCGATCGCGAATCCTGCCTCAGTTTTACGCTGATTTGTAATAAATGGACTCGGTAAGTAACGATCAATATTGTAGGAAGAAGCTTTCTGACGGGGGAATGGAGTAGCCTCCATAGCATGCCAAAAACTGGGGGGTTTTGAGGGTCTTCATGGTCTTTGGGAGCTTTTATGTGCTATTTTCTGATTGCATATAGACAACATAGCCGGCCTGGTTGAATTACCCCCGTTTTATGAACTGGGCTAATCAGAAAACAGCCGAAGACCACCAAACCCCCAGTTCTATAAGCCTGCTACGGAGGCTAATCAGAAAACAGCCGAAGACCACCAAACCCCCAGTTCTGTAAGCCTGCTACGGAGGTTAGGAATGGAGAAGATGAGGAGAAGGTTTGTTTTGAGAGATAACGCGGGGCGTGGCACCGAGCGCCGCCATAAGTCGTGTTATGTGCCATATGATATGATTATAATTCTACGGCGCGGATGATTGCGTAATTGCACGGGCGTCTCCAAATTATACACCGTCTTGCCAGGGTTGGTCTCGAACCGTAGTTCGTCTGACAGCAGAAAGAAACAGAAACACCCAAAGAAACACAAAATTAACGAACGAAGTAAGGACATATCATTGGACATTCGGTGGCTGTGCCTTTCGTACTCTGGGCCGCTCTGATGGTGTGTGGAAGTGACGACACAATTTTGAAACAATAGTAGCCGCCGCCATGTTGGTGGATAGTACATGTAGATCCAAGATGGCGACCAGTTACTCTGGACGGGCAGAAAATATGGTTGTAGCAGAGGAGGTTTATTCAACAACTAATGTTCTCAAAAGACCCAGTACCGTAAAGCAAGAAGGCAGAGGTCGTGAAAAATCAACTGTGAATAACGTTTCTCATATATATATTGAATCGATCTTCAGCATGCGTCTTTAGCACCAGATAAGATAGTAGACACTATTTAAACGCCCTCATGAGCAGGATAGCAAACACCATATTTGATTTTGAACAGTAAATCGCGTTTCACTGCACCCAGCTATGAAGCAAAGCTAGTGTGTAATACCCCTCTCAGGGATTCCATATAGACAATTACAAATAACCTGACACCCCCTATGGAGCAATTACATCTAATGCAAGCTTCATGAACCGCCATTACTTCTGTACGGGCGCTCTTCATTGCATTTCCATCATCGGGGGATGGAACAGATTGGGCGCACTCAAGCCGTGTCGCCTAGCCTGGATAACAGGCTGCTCCAAGGGCTCACATAGACTATCCTGGATGTCAGGCTGTTCCCAGGCTAGTGGGCCTACACAGGCTAGCCTAGATAACAGGCTGTTCCCAGGGCCTACACAGGATAGCCTGGATACTAGTAATAGGATGTTCCTGGGGCCTATTAAATCTCCTAGCAGATCATACGGTGGCAAGGCAATATCTATTGGCCACTGGAGTCCAATAGACACTCCTCTGGCCAATGGATACTGCCTTGCCACCGTATGATCTGCTTGGGGATTACCTAGGGCCCACATAGACCAGCTCATCAGCTCAAGACCAATAAGCCCTCAAAGAATCTCAACCATACTCCGTAAGCAGAGATTTAGGCTTTGGCTTATTTTTGCGTTTTAAGCAGTTTTTTTATCGGGCTTTCTTTTATGTACTTGTATATTTTTGTCCGGGAGGCAAATTGTAAATACTGCCTGGCAAATGGATACGTACTGCCTGGCCAATTTGATACTGTCTTTGCATCCACCTAAAGATCTTCTTGGAGATTAATTTTTACCACAGACGTACACACGATTAATTGATCCTTAGTCTTTGATAAAATTTTCTTGGGGGCATGTTGGCACTGGAGAGTAGAGTTGGACGTTATTGACCCTCGTAACAGTCTGGCATCCAGACTATCTGTCTTGTCGTACGGGTGACCATGTGGTTATCGATTGAATTCATGAAGCACTCAGTAGAAAATGATAAGGTGAATATTCAGAGCCAACGTTTCCGCGTTTCATGTGGCTCGGGGGAAGAGGAAGGAAGGGTCGGTTCGTTTTACATTGGGGTGGGGTACAAGCTGCATTAGCGCAGTGCATCACTAATCACTAATATCAAAGAACATGCCGATTTGACGTAATATTTTTTGGGTGTGCTGAATCACAGTTTTCTTAATGGGAAATAAAACATCAGTGCATCACTTTATTATAGTGTGACAAATGCTAGCAGTGATTTTAAGACAAAATACGTCAAATAAAAGCGATTGTTTGCTATTTCTGTGTGATGACTTTTTGGAGAAGGAAAACTAATAACAAACTCGACCAAAGTAAAGGTTTTGTATCTTGCCGTATTAGCCCAAACAATCCTGGCACCCGAGAAGAGACTTGTTATCCGTAATCTAATTTGTAAAGTGTTTTTTTTTATCTTACTCTCCAAGCAAAGATTGGGTTTCGACTAATTTTTGGACGTATTTTTGCGTTTTTCTCGGACTTTCTTTTTCGTACTGGTTTTCGTTTATTCGTCAGTCAAACTCTGAGTGGCGTATTGGATATTTCCTTCTTGCAGCCGCCAAAAGATTTGCTTGGAGATTATAATTATCTATCGCACGCGGCCATGCTTGGGACCCCCGTTGTTTCGTGGACCATGTCCCCATAACTCATGATCACTCTGACACCATATCGATAACACACAACCGTCAGACGTTACCACATATCACTCTCTAAAGGGAGTCATTCCCGGTCAGAGATTCAAACAGTAGATTACTCTCCAAGCTTTTTTTCTGAAAAGAAAAAGAGACGGCCGTCCCATACAACCGGCCTCTGCTTGAAGAGTAAAAATATCATGTTTTGCTCTCTCGGGATCCAATTAAAATATTCCTTCAACATATTTTGTATTCTACCATATTTGGCATTTTCCTGATACTAGTACGTATGTCTGTTACATGTTGGCAGACAGTTTGGAAAATGCATAGTTTTTTAATACAGAATAAGCGGGAAATCCGTAAGCACAAATTAAGACAGAAAATCACAAAAGCTTGTTTTCAACGTGCCAATCTTGATGTTTTCGACTAAACAATCCCATCCCATTATCTCATCAGGAAGAATGTTAATCCCAGTAAAAGATGCGCCATCACGTACTGTTCACAGATAACAACATGTCGGCGGAGATAGTATAGTCTTATCTGCTTAAGCGTCTGTAACTAGAGATAAAATGGCGCTAGCGAAAACATCTGTTGGGAAAAGAATGCATATTTCCATATTTGCCCTGAACAACGCATGTAGATATTTCAATGGTGAGTGGAATGAAAAATTTATCCGCGTTGTATATTACATGTCGCAGATAATTGTAAATTTTATTCAAATCAGATAAGACTGACGTTTTTCCGGTGTCCTTTGTTTCTTAAAATGACTGTTTCCCAAACTTATGAATACAACAATGTGACACAAAATGAGGTTTGGGGATATTGTGGCAGTGCTTATCAGTGTTACATCAAAATATGACATCAGGAAACATGAACATATGGCCATATATAAATATATGGTCTCCTCCGTTCAGTACTGACCATGGTTAAGTCGTAATTGCTAGCAACCTACAGCTTCGGTAGTGGTTGAATAATACTATAAAAGAATCAGGATTAGTTTTTTTTTCTGGGTCCGCAGAGCGCCAGGAAACATGATTACATGTATAAATCGACCTGTGATTGTTTCGGGAAAGCAGCTTGACCTGTGCTAAACGCGTCGCGAACATCTCCATACGTGATGCACGCCCGATGATCATCATGACCCCATTGCCTCCGAGACGGTACGTGAGGAGCATAAGGGACCGTTACAAACATATAGATGCCGTTCATGATTATACTGTGGCATAATTGTTTTAAAGTAGGGCGTGTAATCTTGGAGCGGAGATGATGTTGGATGTGCTGTAAAAAATAAGAAATGTGACAAAGGAATCAGATCAAACACCATGAAGAGATTCAACCATGTTTACCAATACTTCATTGAAACGTTACACCGAAAACTTAACAAAATCTAGATTTTTAATATATTCATATTGCTGGCCGAAAAAAAATGGCAGCAAAAGTCAGGTCAAAATATAGATCATTGAGAACGCAGTGAAATGTTCCGGACACG